AAATGCCTCAATTTCATTTCATTTCATTTCATTTCATTTGTAAACACAATTTCCCTTAGCTAAACTATCCCTTTTGCCAAGTGTCTCGACATTCAGCATTTGTGGCAAATGCTGATTGCAGGCTCATTATCTTGGTATCCTCGCTCATACCCACAGGAGTTGTATCCGTATCTGCATCTGCATCGACAGCCGCATCTTTGGCCTGACATTGCAATGAACGAAATTGCATTGTGCTATTACCATTCTATCTCTTCCAGCTGCCTTAAAGCTCCTCTGCCCAAAACAGTTGGCCTAAATGTATGCCAAGTATTTTGGTTTCTGTGCTGAGCTAATATGGGTTAAAGTGTCCTGTGTCCTAAACAAACGGCCAAAGGACCCAAGTCAAACAATGGAGAGCAAAAAGGAAAATAAAAACGGAAGAACCAACACTTCGGTCTCACTCTATCTCTCTGTGTTTGCTTGTTGCTTATTTCCTTTTATTTCCCATTTCCAGTCCGCGTTTCCAACTCGGTAATTTACATCTAAATGGAATGATGGGCGTTGGAGCGGCGGCTCTTTAAACACACATGACTGTTGGTATTGCGGTGAGCAGAGATGGTTAGACCATGATGGTGGCTCTAATGTTCAGCTTCCTCTTTGGGCTATCTGTTTTCACAATTTATTCGAAAAGGAAAATGGAGGAAAACCGGTGGAAACAGACTATTCTGTTTTTAATAGTTTGACCATTAACTAAATATGTTAAAATGAGGTTTATTCAGGTTTTAATTTCTGTTTTCTTTAAGCTGAAAATTTTATTATTTAAAGATGAGAAATATGTTTATAATATAAGTAAGATGAGCAACTATAATAATAGTATTTAAATAATATAAAAATCTGATTTTAAAAATGCTCGAAGTACCAAATTGAAATTAAATTAGTTGTATAGCATATTCTTCTTGATTTTTATACAGTTTAGTTCATATAATTAATCTTGACATCATTTCCCTTTGTTTCTGAACCCACAACACCCAACATTGTCATGCATCCTTAATCCTTAAGACCGATTTTCTGCCTGATTTCGTGCTTCAACATTACAATCCAGGTGTCGCCCTCGAATTGACCGCATTATTGTTAATTATTTCAATTCCTACAAAGGAGCCAGTTGCAGGACATCATTCGAATAGGGTCTCACGCCCACCAACGAATCAGATGACGACTGTCTCTGTGTGTGCCTGACATTTCAGCTTGTCCTTAGCAAGGATTTCAATGCGGTGGCGTCTACGTGTGTGTGTGTGTGTAAATGGAATTTGCATTTGAATGACTTCACTTCACTAGGGAGAGTGGCTCACCTCAGTGCAAGTTATGCAACTCAATTTGAATGTAGTAGCAGCACGTCGAGGGGCGAGAGACCTTGGCCAAAAGGACGTGTATATCCTAGATTACGGTTAACTGTTTATAATGCACTGGCAACGAGACTCTATGCTAATTACACAAGCAAAAAATAGCACAGAAAGAGAGTGTACATAATTGAAAAATTAAATATGCTAATGGAAAATGCATTTTGTTTACTCGAACTGGAGCTCGTTTGTTGCTGTTGACAGAGCGTAATCGAAAATACAACTCCGCTCAGTTATATTTATAAATGAATTCATAAACTTTTGTTAAATGGAATTTATCTTCTTTTGTTCTTTATGGGTTGCAAAAAGGGAGGCACACATACTTTTAACGACATTTTACTTTATCGCCCACAAAAGCCCGGCCCCGATTGTCGCTATCTTTGCAGGCAGTTTATTGTCCTCATCATTTAAATCGATATAATCTCCCGCCGCCACCTCCTACCGCTTCTTCCGCTCACAATGGAAACCAATTAAGTTCTGTCACATCATTTTAATGAAATTAAAATGAAATCACTGCGAATAAATACGCGCATGATGGATGGATAAACAGAAAGTTTTTGTTTTGGTTTGTTTCTTTTTTTTTGTGGCCTGACTGAGAACCGCAGGAATCGCTTTGTCTCAAGGCTAATGCTGCTGCTGCTACTGACTGTTTTAAAATTCAGGGCATGCCCAGAGGCGTCTGACAGACCCACTCAGCGGAGGGAACACCCTGGTATCCCCCCTGACTCTATCCAAGCCACCGTTGTAGTTCCCTCACCCACTGACTGACTGACTACATGGACAAGGTGCTGCCTGATTGCCGGCGGCTTCAGCAGCTCCATGAATCCTTAAGTGACTGAAGAAAAAAAAAATAATAATAAACAAAAAAGGAAACGACCATATAATATCCGGTTTTATTAGCAGAAAATGGTTGCCTACTTTTTGGGGTTATAAGGATTTTATTTATACTGAAAAAGTATCCAAAATATTCGAAGAAAAATATTAATTAACAAAAAGTAAAAATAAAATGAAGTAAAAATATATATTGATTTAAAATGTGTTTTTTGATTTATAATATTTTGCATTAAAAAAAAACATTTTTATAAGAAAAACTGCCTCTTAATTCCCAACCTTTGGTGCATATGTATATTATAGTCGTGCATACCCTGTAACTCCCAAAATTATAAGGTATACAAAAATAAGAAAGTAAAATAAAAATGAACAACAAGATAAAACGGGTAACAGAAACGGATGTAGAGCAGAAGTAGACAAAACGCTTAGTCTACTCATTCTGTTAGAGAAGATTGAGGGGCTAGAAAGGGCGTTAAAGGCGGTGGATGCTATGCCACCCATTTCTTGTTTGCCTTCGCCCCAGTGTGAAGGTCGTGGGCGTGGTGACGTCGGTCTGGAAAAAAATATTGCCAACTAAGTGTTGAGCATAATAATGAGAAAAGCAAATGGAAATGGCACGCAACAAACAGCTGAGGTAGAAAATATATATTTGAAGGTGAAGTGAAATATAAAATTAAGAGATTAAACGCAAAATTAATATCATCATTTCCCATTTAATCATCTGATTTTGTATTTTTAAAATTTGGAAAATTAAATTAAATACTTTTTACATTAAAACATATAGTTTTAATGACAAGAAACTTTCCTTTTATTCCTCTTAACTTTTATAAAATTGTTCCTATACAGATGTCATCCACTGTAACCACATATATAAACGAATACCCGCTGTGATTCTTTGTTTCTGTTTGAACAGTTTATCCTTGTCCAACTTTTACTTTTCGTCAGCACGTTGTTTGCTTTAAATAAATTATGTTTTCCACTACCAGCTTCATTTTATTTGATAATGCTACGAGGCTGCTCGTGACACACATTCGAATTGCACATACATCCAAAGTGCGTTAACCAATATGCAAATTCATTCATTTCCTGCTGCTCTGTGTCTCGGTCCCCAGGCAATTAGTTGGCCACTTTTGTGCAATTGGCTAAATTACAAGGGACTGGATTTTCCTATTTTGTACGTAAGTCTCGCTTACAGGAAGTCATTGCCATTGTCATTTGACTTTTTTTTTTTTTTGTGGCCTATTGCCTGCTGCCGTCTGGCTAGGCCACAGTCAAGTGAATTAGCATAAATTATTGGCCTTGCAATATGGAGGGAAATGGTTTGGCCTAAATGGAAATTTAATATTGTTTTGCTGGCAAAGGGAATAAAGTAAAGGCTTTAAAGTCTTTAAATTGAATGCTAGGTTACATAAATTGACTTATTTAGTGGAAAAAATGTTTAAGCAAAATGTATTTACATAATGAAATGGTTTATGAATTGTTTATTTGGCAAAAGCCAATTTTAATTAACTTTAAGTCATAAAATTGGAATTTTAAACAAAGCAAATACATTTCTTTTAGAGCAATTTAAGTTTCAAGACTTTTCCGAATATAAAAACCATACATTTAAATTAACTCCAATTGAACATCCAAAAAGTGTAAAATTCATTTGTCATAGTTCTTCTCAAGCCATAAAGCATCTGCTCTGTTGCCTTCTTTGCACTTTAATGTCGCCTTTATCTCCGATCTGCGCTAATTCTCCGGCAATCATCACAGCAATTAAATTATACGACCGGATTCGAAGGAACTTAACGCAAAACGCTCGAGAGAGCTTGAAATTTTTATTACCCCATCGTTTCCCTATACCCCAAACCCCCTTCAACGACCAAGAAGACAAGCCATAAAATAGGGCGTGGCACACTTTTTTATAAGCATAAATCAAATCATATATATATACACATAAACTTAGAGCGTTAGCAGGGAACGAAGGCAGCCATCTTGCACAGGCTGCCATTAAATATTGCGTATACGCAGTGTTAACACTTTATAAACGCATTAGTGTTTGGGAAAAGGGGCAAATATCGTATATTTCTGGGCTTTCCTGTCATATCAAAATAACATTTTCAAGCTGGAGAGAAACGAAAAACAAGGGAATGAAAAAAATCGAAGGGGAATAACAAATTTATACAGACAAAATATATTTATGAGCCGAGAAAAGAAAAGGAAAGGACTTTTCTGACCAATGTCTGCCATAAATCATGCGATTATTGAGCGAAAACACGTGGCGGAGTAAAGATTATATAAGGTATGATCACCCTTTTAAAAACTTTTTCCTATGAGACGCACTGTAACCACGTGCCAGATAAAAACCAGAGGCCCTACAAATGGCCCAGGCACGCCCCCAAGGCACAGGACATTAAGCTCAATGAGTTGAAATTATTTGCAGCTGAAGGTCAACTAAATGCGGACGCCACAACTGTCGAGGGGTGGAGGGAGAAAAACAGAGACAGAGAGGGTGCAGCTGCCGCGGTGGGTGTGGCTGCTTCAGCGCCATTAAAGACAACTTCCGCAAACAATAAATTTTGCTTACCCAGCGAAGTAGCTACGAAAATGGTTGTGGGTTTGGAAGTTTAAGCTCCATTTTTTATGGGGAAATATATATATATATATACTCTTTGGGAAACTGGTGTCGATTAAACTGTTATACATTTTTTTCTGCCTTTTTTTCGGTTTTAGAATTTCGAGGCTTTGGGGCTGGGGCTTCTCCTCCGTGCACGTTGGCTGCGTTAATTTGTATGGATTATTTATGGCGGCCCCGCTGTTGGCAGCAAATGAGGCCACAAAGGAAGCGGATGCCGGATGAGCTGCAAGTTTTTCCACGAAAGTTTCCAGCCAGTGCCGCCCCACAAGTGCCAACTGAAAATTTATGGCCCTGTTTTCAAACTTGGCACAGCATCCATCGCCTCGTATAGATTTAATTTTCACCCCGTCTCTTTCTCTGTGCAAAATCAATTAACAAGAAGCTGAAGCCAATGTTCGACGTTTCTTTGATAAGAAACTGTTAGTTGGTTCTTTACTTTGACTAGAAGATGTGGTTAGTTGTGGGGCTGCTTCAGTTGGTGGCTTTGGTTGACTGCCAGTCCAAGATGACCAAACAGGATTGTGATAATTATATGAGACACTCAGAGCCACAAGTCACAAAAGTTTTAGAGTGTCTAATGACACACTATAACCTAAACACACTCCTTGTACAGCTGCACAAGAAAATGGATCAAATTGAGCTTAAATTAAAGGAAGCTCTTAAAAAGCATCAAGACTTTAATACACCCTATACAAAAATCGACAATGTACTGGAAATAAATGAGGAAAATCAGAATTGCCAAAGCCAGCAGCAGTTGGTTCAGGCTATTCGTCGAAAATTGGAGTGGCATAGCCTAGTGGAAGGCATAGATACCTCTCATTTTGAATGGCCACGCCGCATCAAGACATCCAAGCGAAAAACCCCAATCAATGATAAGGATCCAGAGCTAGAGCTCTTTAGGAAGGACCCCAAGGACTCTGCCGTTTTGGACGGCGTTCAGTGTTTCGTGATAAATAGCCTGCGAAGCTCTGGTAATGAATCAAACATTTAACCTTTGATTGTGCCAATTGATTGCGGCAATTAAAGCGACATAAAAGCGATGGTGACAGGTGTGAAACGAAAGGCAGCCGAGGCTTCTGCATTTAAATTGTAAATAAATATGTGAGCATTCTCCCTTCGCACACACAATGGCAACGCAATCAACAAACTGAAGCGAAAACTTTATCTCGCAGAGGTGCATGTCGGTGCAGTGAGGAAAATGAGTAATATATATTTGTATTTTTATTTCGTTGCAGATGTGAAACAGTAATCTGAATTTTTACTGGAAAAATTTCAGGGGGAATGAAATATATAAATTGAAGTGTAAGGAGTCAAAAATGGAGGCTTATAGAGGATATTAAAAATAATTATAATATTGTTTATTGAAAAATCTATCTTTATAATAAGTAAATAATAATATTAATTAAAAAAAAAAAAATAATTATCAATAATAAATAAAAGATAATTGGATATATCATAAATTTATATAACAAAAATAGTTTTTCTTCTAATAGCCGGGATTTAAACCCACCTCTCAAGGCTTAAGCTAAGTTTCTATCCATTCTAATGGAGTTAGAGCGAGACAGAAAACAGTTAATAATTTGTTGTTCTAATAACTTTCCTGTTTATTATCGGTTAATGTTCAAATTTTAAGAGAATCGAGCTTTTGACTTTGAAATCTTATTGCATGTACTGAAAATAGTACTTTAAATTTTTAAATCTCTTTAGTCTAAATAAAGATCAAAGACAGACATTTCCTAAATTTTCCCGCTGTGCCTTAGAAAACCTGCTGTGCCAGCATAAAAAATTTGCGGTCACCTGTGTCGCGAGCGAAAGGCCCATTTCTAACGTTTTGTCCACCAGGTTTGGCCTGGTTTTTAAATTGAAATCTCAGCAGCTCCGTTCTCCCGTAGAGAAAGAGAGAGTGGCATTTCTCTCCTGTCCCCATGATGGTGTGCTTTAAATAATTGCTTAGAATTACAAACAAACACACACACTTACACTCGTGGCAATAATAACAGCTCAAGCACTCCGGCCATGATAATAATAGCAAATAGAACCTGCCACAGAGATGAAGCTACCACTCGGACACTCTGGACAAACCCCCCTTTTGGCTTTTGCAAATGCAGTGCACACACTACATACTATATACTATACTATATATGTATAAAGCTCAGAGAACGTTTGCTTTTAATGTGCCATATAAAATAATTTAATGACCAAAAAGGGACCAGAGCAGTGCTCTACTCCTGGTAATGAGCAAATCGCTTTGGGGGCACTAAATGATAATAGTTGCATATTGTGGGATGGCCAGATAGCCATGACAAAGTATCACTCGGGACGCTGTTTAATTGGCAAACAGATTTTCAGCTTCAGATTGGCGGGTAATTAGAAATATAGAAATACAATTATGGTCATAAATATGTGGGGAAGTGAGATTCTCTAAAGCATTTATTAAGATATTTGGGTAATAAAAACAGAAACAAATCAATTACGCACATAAATTAAGTTTATAAAGGAGGAAGTAAAAGATCAATAGAAGGTAAATTAATGTTTAAACTTTAAACAAATTCCAAAGTCTTATTTATAGACTCCATTTTTTGCCGTCTTTATTTATTTATTCTCTTTATGATGGCTATTTTTAAACAGAATACCCTTTTGGCCTCCTGCCAGACTAATCTACTTGAAACTCCCCTTAAGGCTGCTTTAAGTCAACCCTAATTAGGTTATTCTTGGCAATCCCTGGACTAAATCCCCCCCTTAAAGACGCCCTAAAAAAAACGAAATTAATTTTAAGTATCTTTATGTTTCCTTGCTTTTCCTTAGTCTTTTTCCAGCTTCCACTTTACCTCCTTCGAAGACCATGGCTCTCCGGTCATTTTGTGCAAAATAGTTGCGCTTTATTTCGCCTGAAAACTCTGTCTCTCTGGCTGTCGTTCAAGTGAAACACCCTGTCCTCACCTCCCAGCTTCCGCTAGAATGTCAATAAAAATTCAATTACGTTTTCCGGCCAAGTTTGCCGCTGAAATACGTTTCTCTCTGCCTTCCATTTAAAATTGGAAATGCTTCCGTTGTCACAGTCTGAATTTGTTTGCCATCTTGATCGATTTGTGATGTTGCTATTGCTGTGGGAGAAATCACAGATACAGGCACTTATATTTAATGGCCTAATTATGTAACCAAACGCCCAAATACACTGAGTAAATAATCATAATCGTTGCCAGCCATAAAGTTCTTTGGTTTTGCCAATAAAAATAAATTGTGCGAGCTCGTTTGGGCAATTTGGTAAAAGTGTTTTTGCTAGGCACTATTTTTGTGCGATTTGGTTTAACACACACCCACACACACACACATATGGTTTTGGTGGTTAAATAGTTGTTGGCCAAGTTTATGCTGATGATGATGCCCTGAACACATCAAGGTCGTCGTACTGGGCCATCGTCCATTAAACCAAATTTTATTTCGACTTCCATCAGGTAATATTATCCTAAAGAGCTGCTGGTAGCAGCTTCTGCTCCTGCTTCTGCCTTTTCTCTCAATTTTTCTCCCACATTTTGCTCTCTTACGCATACGAAAAAAGCGTTATACTGTTATACACAGCGGCTGCTGCATACTTACAGGCGTTTGGGCATTCAGTCTCCCTTCGAAAGTGCTAACGTGTGGACGGACAAAACTTTTGCTCAACGCCCACTTTTCGGATCGCGTAATTTTCGTATAAAAATAAATAGAAAAATTAAAACTAGGCACAAAAAAAAACTAAGAGATCCCTTTGAAATTCCGTGGGCCATCCGTATCAATCATCGCCTAAAGGCTTTGGGCTTACGTCCTTCGGGGACAAAGTGTGTGTCCTTTTGTGCCGGCTTCAATTAGCAGTTGGTCTTCTCCTCGTCTTGTGTGTGTGTGTATGTTCGTTTGGATTAATGAGGCAAAGTGTTTTATCGTGTCCTGCGTTAAATATTTAACACAATATCAAATAAATGTTGCATAAGCCGCCTGTCATTTAGCATCATCTTGTGCCAAAAAAAAAAGGAGTAGAGTGTGTTTCATGTGTAGTATTGTGTGAGTTTTCTTCTGCTTTTAGCACAAGCAACATCAGGGGATTTTGTCTTTGCCAACAATCCGATCAAGTAAGTTCTGGGTATTAAATATCAGAGTAAAATACATAAAGATGAGTTTGGGGTAAAAGCGACTTGAGTATCAAGTTGCTGCCATTTCCTCTTATATACCTTTATCTGGGAAATTTCCCTGGCACATTACACGTTTCCCAAACGCATTTAAGATACATTTTTATTGCCCCATTTTTGGCTTTATGTCTCCGGCATTTAAAAATCTCCTGGCAGGTAGATAATTTTGATTTGATATTCGTGTAATTTCGTTGTCGTTAGCTTGGTTATGTTTTTGGCGGAATTCTTTTGTTTGACGGCGGAATTCCGATCTGCTTTTACCCTTCATTTGCTTTCAGGTTACGCAGGGGGAAAAATACCAGCAAAATACTTTTACAGCTACGGCACTCCAGGGCCGGTTTTCATTTAAAATTGCTGCCATTAAAGAGAGCCCAACAACACCCCCTAGCTGGCTATTAGACCTGCCCCTGCCCCTGCCCCTCCCCAGCTCCCTTTTCGACCGCCCGCATCTCTGGCAGCCTTACAGACTTACACACAGACATCTCCCCCCTTCATGGCAGAGTACGAAATTAATTGTATCCAAACGTTTTGCTGCTTGCCGCAAAGTTACTTTAATGCTAGTTCATTTGCCACGCCCCTATCCCCCACGGAATGAACGTACACATACACAGACAGACAGACGGACATTTACATGGTGTATACACGCACAAATACACAGAGAATAAATTTAGAATTATTTTATAAATTCAAAACTCTAATTATAATTCTACTTTATTGTTTTATAAAATATGACAGTATAGGCCAAAGCTCTATGACAAGCCTTTCTTAAGCCCACGACTTTGTGTATTATCACTTCGTTAAAATTCGTTCTAGATCTATCAGCACATGTACGCACTTGCTTTTGCTCTGTGAACATTTTATAGACTTTTTCTCAGAGCGAATAGTTTTGAATTTCTTCAAATTACATCTAGTCGTTACGCATCTTATAAGGGGTTTAATCATGCCTTGGAAAACCGAAAGATAAAACTAATTTTGAACCAAAAGTGAAAACCCAATTTGAAACACTGTTTTACCTAATATTAAATCTACCTAGTCTTTTTTTCAGTGCACCTATACAAACACGTGCACACGTAGTACTTCGGGGGGGGAGGGGGGGGGGAGCATGAGGCACACAGCATCCCAACTAAGTAAATAATGCGTAAAACAAGTCGAGCGTTTTACGAACCCACCCATTTTTCCTTCCATTTACCCTACCATTTTTCTCTTGCAACTCCACCCTCACCTACCACCCCCTCTCCTCATTCCCTTTTAGAAAAATACAGTGGGAACAGTCAATTGTAAAATTGTTGCAGCCAACAAAGCGTGGCAAGAAAGCTAAGCGAGTGCTCAGAGCGTTTCCATAGGTAGCAGCAGTCTGATGCTTCTGCTGCTACTGATGATAATGACGATGGCAGGGATTGCAGGATTCCGGGATTCCTCCAGTTTCACGGTGTACGTAATTCATTATTATGCCGGGCTAAGAAGCGCTCGACTGGCTGGAATAAGAAAACAAAAAACAAAAAAAATATTTGTGCACATGTGGCTAAAGTTTCCATCCATCGTCTGCCGCATGTTATTCTTGTTAACGCTAAAATTGTCTGTCACTTGGGGACTTCCGTCATCATCAGAAGGATAAAAGGATGAAAAACGAGATGAAAATATGAGACTTTTCACTCTTGAGGCACTGGCAGTAGAAGTACTCCATTTTTATAAAGGATGCTCTTAGCTTAAAGTACCATAAGGATATATTCTTCTTTAAAAAATTACAGGACTTTCTTTTAGCTAAGACCTTTTAATAATAAAATTTAAAATTAAAATAGGCACCTCCTCGAAGTCCCTTACTTTTTCTATTCAAGTTAAAATTGCGTATATTTCTTCAAGCTAAACATAATACAAGTCAAAAAGTCATTATCAAATAATGAAAATGTCTAACAAAAACACGAACAACAATTAAACAGAGACCCACCTGAGCTCCGCCATTCCCAAAAAAAAAATATATATATATATTAAAAATAAAACTGTCAAAAGAAATACAAAGAACAGCGGAAAATTTAAAGAGTACCCGAAATCCACACGAAAATGAACATCAACAGAAATGTGAACAATGACCAAATGGCACACAAAATAAAACTTTTGTTCCCTCATCTTTTTTTTTTTTTTTTTTTGTTCACTTTGACCCA